CATAATTAAAAAGAATTTAAAACCTTAATCTGATAATAAGGCTTTCCATCCTCAATTGTGATTGAGTGATAGAGAAAGAGTATTTCTCAGTTATTTTTGGTCAGAATATGTATGATGTTGTGGCACTAATTTGTATTTTAGCACAGCATATCACCCACAATCCAATGGACAAACGAGTTGTCAATCTTTGTTTGAAATCTGATCTTTGTTGTTTTTTCAGCCCCAAACCGAAAGTCCTGGCCTTCTTGGTTACATTCCGTGGAGTTTTGGTATACCAATTCTTACAAGAGCTATACAGGCACCACCCCCTTCAAGCCTTCAAGGTGTTATATGGTTGAGGCACCCCTATGTTGGTCCGAAGTTCGAACTATTTTTACTGTTTCACCCTTTGATGAGGTCTCCAGACTGCTCCAAGACCGTGATTCCATCATTCAGGAGTTGCAACATAACTTGAAGCAGGGATGTGGAATTTGAGGTGGGGGACATGGTTTCTTTAAAACTCCAGCCTCATAGACTTTGTTCCTTAGCAAGAAAAATGAATGAGAAGCTTAGTCCTAGATTCTACGGGCCATATAAAATTCATTCCAGAATTGGATTTGTTGCTTATAAGTTGGAATTACCAAGGGATTGTAGAATTTATCTGGTATTTCATATATCCCTTCTAAAGAGGGTTGTTTCTCATTCAGTCCCCATTCAACCTCTCCCTCCTATGCTTACAGAGGAATGCGAATTGAAAGTGGAACCTAAGAACGTCTTTCAATGGCGAAAAAACTCTTATGGCAGAATTGAAGTCTTAGTCAAATGGTCACACCTTCACAATTGAAGAATGCACAACTCTGTTAGAGGAGAGAGAATATTTCTGCTGAGGTGGCTGTTGGTTAGAAGAGTACCTCTTGAAAGTACTAGATTAATCAATTTTGTCTTGCAGGTTGTCCCAGACGAGGAAATTGATTGCTCAACTCTTCAGTATGTTACGGAGGAAGGGTCCTGGAATTGGTCTAGATTTCTTCATCTTCTTCCACCTGAGGTTTGCATGCGCATTGCAAATATTCACCCTCCATATCCTCTTGGTGGTAGTGACCGTGTGATATGGGCTTTGACTGCTAATGGTAGATTTACGGTACATTCTGCTTACTTATTTTTAAATGACCAGTCTTTACGTCTCCAGCAGCGGTATATTCAAGGGTTGAGAGTTTGCTCCTGGGACAAAGTGTGGGGTTGGAATGGGCCACCTAGAGTTAAAACTTTTCTTTGGTTGCTGTTGGGGAATAACATTTTGACTAATGCTCAACGCTTGCGTCGTCACCTTTCTGATAATAGTTTGTGTTCTCGGTGTATCTATGGTCACGAGGATTGTATTCATGTGGTTAGAGATTGTTGGAAGGTTCGGGAAATATGGTGCCATCTGATTCCTCATCATAAGTGGCAATCCTTCTTTGCGCAAGATCTGGGTGAGTGGCTACATTTTAATCTCTCAACTGATTACATGGAGCAGGTGTCTGGGAATTGGTCAACTCTTTTTGGTATTATGTGCTGGTTAATTTGGAAAGCAAGAAATGAATGGATTTTTAAGCATTTGGAGACTGATCCTTCTAGCATTATTCGTTCAGCTTTTTTTTTGAGAGATAATTACTTCCAAGCTCAATTGCTGCTGAATCAAGGCGGTCTTCGGTTGCAATCACCTAGGATTCAAACTTTCATTAATTGGAAGTTTCCTTTGGAAGGGTGGATAAAGATTAATATAGATGGTTCTTGTGCTCAAGGTGGACTACAGTCTGGATGTGGAAGGGTTATAAGAGATTGTAGAGGTGATTGGTTAGTTGGTTTCTCAAAGAATTTGGGGCATAGTTCATCGGTTGCTACTGAGATTTGGGGTTCTTATTTGGGTCTTCAAATAGCTTGGGAATGTGGTTATAGAAAGGTGTGGCTTGAAGGTGACTCTACAATTGCAATTAATTTATTTTCCAATCAAAATACTGAGATGCATCCTTTAAATGGACTGATTTTACGTATCAAGGAATTATTGGGGAGAAGCTGGCAGGTTTATGTCTCTCATATTTATAGAGAAGCGAATGGTGTAGCTGATTGGTTAGCTACGCATGCTTTTTCTGCAAACTGGGATATTCAGTTTTTTAACACACCTCCTGTAGGTTGCAAACATAGATTTCTTCAAGATTATAGGGGAGTAGCTTTCCCTCGCTTTGTTTTAGCCTAGTTTATTTTCTCTATGTATTACCAAAAAAAAAAAGTACTGAACCAATCTCTTGGATGCTTGTTAATGGGATTTCTATAATTAGAATAGTTGAGCTACTATTATTGTTAATTCCTTTTCTGTTTGTATTTAGTTTCATTTGTACTTTCGGATTCAGCATTTCTTTCTTTCCATGATGGGGGGGGCTCAGTATTTAAGTAAAAGGATAGCTTTTACGCGCACCCAATATCACATATTAGTCCTCGTGATATAAAAGAAAACTCCACGCACTAAATACCATGGTGTGGAAAGGTATTCACGGCAGAAACACAATGACATAGCATAATGGAGAAGACAGCTCTCACTCTAAGCTTTCCTTCCACATAAACAGTCAAGACCACCAAGCTTCCTCAAAACACAACTGAAACTAGTAAATGAAAATGCAACACAAAAGCATTTTTAAAGTACCTTGCAAGGAACTAACCCAGCATCAACGAGTTTTCATTGCTGCCAGTTTAGAACCATACATGATTTCTCAACCATCAAAGATCTTACTCCATTATTACATTTTTACATAACTTTCAAGTTGAAGTCAGCACATGAAGTATGTCCAAGCACACGTCTGCCTTAAATTGTTTAGCATGAGTTATACATCATGACACTACGACATGGTTCCATTTTTAAAGTAGGAAAATTGTTAACTAAATTTGGCATGGCCATATAATGGATAGGTATTTATATAAGCCTACCATTTTCATTCCAGATGTAAATCACAAGCCTTGAAAAGTTCGTACTAATTGCCACATTAAATGGGATACACCTACAACTTATATCCACTCATTCTATTATGCCATGTAAGATTTATTACAAAATGAGGAGACACAAAGTTGATCAACCAGGATTTTGGCAGGTCAAAATTAAAGTCTCACCTACCTAAAGTTCAAGACACGACAATGAACAAGAAAGTACAAAGACACTGCATCTTCTATATACAAAAGTTACTTCAACAGAGATCTCATACTCCATAAGCTTCAAAGTTTCTCTTAAAGAGGTTGTTGAATTCTTCGATGTGCACACTTGATGTTCACTTGCTGTGCTGGCTTCTCAAAGTGCTTTGCAGGCGATGAAGAGAGGTGCATTTGGGTGCAAAGTAGAACTTCTTCCAGATACCAATGCCATTAGAACTTGTCAGCCAAGTAGACTAACTTCAGGACAATCTTACTCAGTACCTAAAAAAGTAGTTAAAATGAGAATGTAGCCATGTACTACAAAAATATAATTTATTATTCATCACATCATATCAATGACACTATGTCCTCTCAAGAGAGAACCAACTAAAAAGTAAAGAGCATGGTATAGATTTAATTGATGGAATGTGTAACTCCACAACCAAACTTGAGCAATTGTCTCAAATAATAAAGTAAATTACAGAGATAACATTAGGGATTCAAGGTTGTCCCAGCAACCAAGCCCAATCAGCAGAATAGTGAGACATAGAAAAGTGATATTTACCAATATCCTACATCTTAAATCCTAACCCAAAAAAAAAAAAAAAAAAAAAGTAACAAAGAAAAAAGCCTTTCGTGGTTGTTAGATAGTTAGATTCTTAATAACAGAATACTTGCAGGGAAGATCAACAGCAATGGGAATTTATACAACAAAATGGAATCACAAAGAGATCACAAAATCAAATCAACCTAGTGAACATCCACAGTGAAAGACTCATACAATTGAGCTAACCATTCCATTATCCACTCATGGTTTAGTAAATAGTAACAGCACCACCACTCTGATTTAAAAAACAACCATCACAAAAAAAATAAAAAATGCAGCATAGCAAACGATCACTGACAAGATCACCACAGAAAAAAGTCAAACACATGAAAAGCAAAATAGGTGAGGGATCCGTACTAACTAATTCAGAGGAAAACCCACAAAGGAAAATAAAAATAAAAATAAAAATCCAATCTTTCTATTACTGTCCTCACAAAACAAAAACATGATTAATTACTGGTAATTGGATCACTAGTGATATAGAGAACTCCATCCATAGTCACCTGAATCAATAGAAAGAGATAGTTTAGCAGAGTGACCGTTGAGGTTGTTGCTTGCAAATATCAACAATTGCAGAGTGAGTGAGTGTGTGTCAAGCAACCTTGAGCTTCAAGATCACCAATGTATGAAGAGCACAGTGTCAGATGCAACCAAATGAATTGCACATAAAACATAATGAGGGAGAGGTTCTCATAGCTCTAAGTTAACTGCACTTGCTTGCACTTGCTTGCTCTGTTGCTTTGTGTAGCAATGCATTTGGTGGCCTTTACAACAACACACAGCATAGTGTTTTTTTAGACCAATACTTACATATATAAATTGTAGACACGTTAATTTATTGGGGCATGGAGTATTCCTTCTGTTACTTGTTTGAATATTAAAAACAATATAACGAAGAATTTTATTATTATTATTATCTGAATGGGATTCGTTAATGGCCCTCGACATAGTGTCTTTGTAAAACTACGTTTTTAGCAAATTAAATATAATAACTATTCACATATTGCAATAAAAATAAAAAAATAAAAATAAAAAGCGAGTCATAGCAGGATCTCAAATAGCTAGTGTCATGGAATTCTTAGGACAAGTCACAAACCACGTGGCACTGTTCCAACATGAAATATAGAATCTTATCTCATTTCTTTTTTCAAAAATATAAAAAATAAAAATTACAAAAGTTTGACAGGTAAAGCACTGAATATAAACAGATGCAAAAATGTGGCACACCTGCATATCCTAACATCTCATTCAGCAACTAGAAAAATTTCACAGAAGGGATGTGACGAATTTTATGCCAATGCTCTCCTCCCTCCTTCTGAAAGCGCTGCTTAAGTAATGGACAACCAACAATCCCTAAAGTAGAAAGGGAGTTGGGTAGACCCTCCTCTGGCAAGTACTCAACACAAGGGCAAAAACAAATATATAAGGTTTTTGAGAGATTTGAGATGGGAAAATCCTCTGTAGTTAATTATTCTTAGCTCTGAACAACTCCATATACAGAGATGGTCAATATTGGGTGGCAGCAGATTCTCCTCCGGGAAGGACTCCACGTTTTCAAAGTCATCACTAACTATGAATTGTTTCAGAGAATGAAGTTTGGACAAACCCCACTCCTCTCTCCACTCCTCTCTCGAAGCAATCAGTTTGGGGCATCTCCTTATTGCGAGGCTGCTCAGACTGGAAGGAAAACCTCCCTCAGGAAACGATTCCAGCTCTGGACAATCATACAATTTGAGAGAATGAAGATTGGTGAACATGTCTAGTGTGAAAGGCCACGAGGAGGAAAAGTACCCCTTTGTAAAGTGTAGAGTGGGAAGAGGAATGTAGCTCAATTTCAAAGAGGAGACATTTGGAAGTTCACCAACCTCCAACACTTCAAGAGAGGTATTGTTCAATAGAATTTGCTTCAAGGAGGACTCAAATTATCGAGTTCCACTAATGTCCACTTCTTTCAAGTTGGATGGCAATATATTGACTGAAATGTTTTCACATCCCTTTAGTCGTAACTTAACAATATTAGGAGCCTCGGGAAGTGAAGCCTCCAACTCGTGGCATTCATGAATAGCTAATATTTGCAAAGAAGGAAGGTGTTGAGGCAGGGCATTTTTCAACTTGGGACAGTCGAATATGTAAAGCTCTTTAAGAGATGGGAAACCTTCACCATCTTCCAAACATAACCATTCCTTCCATCTGAGCATATCTCGAAATTCCAAGATTTCAAGAGACCTGAATGGATCAGTTGACAAATTATCACCGTAAAACTCTCTACCAATGATCTCTACCTAATCAAAGCCTGAAATAAAAAGCTCCTTGAGAGAGGGGAGCTGCCCAAGCCAATCTGGAAATCTTTTTCCGCTATAGTGAGCCTATTCAGGTTGCTAAGGAGTTGAAGCGCCTCCAAGACACGATAGTCATCGTTTTCTCCACTTCTGCCACCAAAGCTCAACCGTAATTCTTCTAAATGTTTATTATCTTTCAAATTGGTTCCGCTGCATCTGCAGGATCAGTCACATTTTCCAACCCTGAAATATAAAATTCTCCTTGAAGGTTACCTGATTCGATTTGAATGTTGTATAATTTGCAGACAATGAAATTGTTTGGGTGCAGTTATTTGACTGAGCTCCTATCAGATTTTTACAAACTAATCAATTTACGTCATCTTGAGCTGGAAGGCACACCAATTAAGAAGATGCCAAAACATATAGAAAGACTAATCCATCTTCAGACGCTGACTGATTTTGTTGTGGGAGAGCACAGTGGATCTGATATCGCATATAGGAAGGCTAATCCATCTTCAGACGCTGACTGATTTTGTTGTGGGAGAGCACAGTGGATCTGATATTAAGGAGTTGGCTAAACTGAACCATCTTCCCATCAGATTTTTACAAACTAGTCAATTTACGTCATCTTGAGCTGGAAGTCACACCAATTAAGAAGATGCCAAAGCATATAGGAAGACTAATCCATCTTCACACCAAGACACGATAGTCATCGTTTTCTCCACTTCTGCAACCAAAGCTCAACCGTAATTCTTCTAAATGTTTCTTATCTTTCAAATTGGTTCCGCTGCATCTGTAGGATCAGTCACATTTTTCAACCCTGAAATATAAAGTTCTCCTTGAAGATGGTTCATTTTACAAAATCAGTCAGCGTCTGAAGATGGATTAGTCTTCCTATATGCTTTGGCATCTTCTTAATTGGTGTGACTTCCAGCTCAAGATGACGTAAATTGACTAGTTTGTAAAAATCTGATGGGAAGATGGTTCAGTTTCGCCAACTCCTTAATATCAGATCTACTGTGCTCTCCCACAACAAAATCAGTCAGCGTCTGAAGATGGATTAGCCTTCCTATATGCGATATCAGATCCACTGTGCTCTCCCACAACAAAATCAATCAGCGTCTGAAGATGGATTAGTCTTCCTATATGCTTTGGCATCTTCTTAATTGGTGTGACTTCCAGTTCAAGATGACGTAAATTGACTAGTTTGTAAAAATCTGATGGGAGCTCAGTCAAATAACTGCACCCAAACAATTTCATTGTCTGCAAATTGTACAACATACAAATCGAAACAGGTAACCTTCAAAGAGAACTTTAAATTTCAGGGTTGGAAAATGTGACTGATCCTGCAGATGCAGCGGAACCAATTTGAAAGATAATAAACATTTAGAAGAATTACGGTTAAGCTTTGATGGCAGAAGTGGAGAAAACGATGACTATCGTGTCTTGGAGGCGCTTCAACTCTATAGCAACCTGAATAGGCTCACTATCACAGACTATCGTGGCAAAAGATTTCCAGATTGGCTTGGGCAGCTCCTCTCTCAAGGAGCTTTTTATTTCAGGCTTTGATGAAGTAGAGATCATTGGTAGAGAGTTTTACGGTGATAATTTGTCAACTCATCCATTCAGGTCTCTTGAAATCTTGGAATTTCGAGATATGCTCAGATGGAAGGAATGGTTATGTTTGGAAGATGGTGTGAAGGTTTCCCATCTCTTAAAGAGCTTTACATATTCGACTGTCCCAAGTTGAAAAATGCCCTGCCTCAACACCTTCCTTCTTTGCAAATTGCCTATCTCATCAGCTAGCTTCTCCAAGAAATAACAATATGTGAATGATAACACCCGCAAATATTTTAGTGTTGAAAACATAACATTGTTGCATATCTTGAAGCCTGGGTCATCATCTTCCCTTATTTTTATATCTACTGTGTAACCCCTTACATTTGTAAATTTGCTCTAATATTTTATCAACATCTTTTACTTCATCAGAGCACCACCAAATGTGACGTGTCTTTTCAGGGATATCTGGCACCCTATCACCATCTATTCGTAAACAAAATTCTCCTGACACCGATTTTGCTAAATCATTGACAAGATCATGCATGACGAAGCAATCATCTCTACCTCCTGCTGGTTGGAAAAATGAAATTGAATACCCAACTCTTCTTCGCTTTCATCTGTTGGGTTGCATTTCAGCAAACCTTCTGCCATCCAAAGCCTGATTAATTCTTCCTTTATGAACCGGTAACCTTTGGGAAACAAGGAACAATAAGCAAAACAACGCTTCAGATTGGACGGAAGGACATGGTAACTCAATCTCACCGGATTAATGTTATTTTTATCCGATAAAATCCACCTATCAGACTTCAGTATCTTATTCCATACAAGGTGACAAGAAGCCTCGTACCTTGCGGGTAATAAATAGCCTTGAGCTTCTTCTTCAGTGCTGCATTAGTAGCAATCTCATCTAACAGTTGTTCTGTCTCATACGCAACATGTGTGAGTTCATCAAGCCACTTCTTCACCCGCGGGTTTTGGTACTGCTTTTTCTCTGCATCATCCAGCACTTGGCTGATAGAATTTAAGGTTATCTCAAGTTTCTTCAGCAGCCCAGCCTTACGTTCGCCTCCACGGAAGAAATCACTGGATGCCAACCCCTGCAAAGTCAGTTGAAAGAAAGACGAAAGAAATGCTTCTCCGATTAGCTCCGCCATGACTTTCTGTGACCCAACCAACCTGAGATGGAATATTGAGAGCACAAAAAAGGATCAATATGAGATGCTCGAAGATAAGTTATGTCATTTAAAAGAATAAATATTTTTTCCTATAAATATATTCAACTCTTTGTAATGCTTCAAATAAACTTATAGAGTAACAGCACATAATAAAAATATATATATTTTTCTTATTTTGTAGGAAAGAAATTATCTTATGTTGTAGAAATAAAAATATCAGTGGAACCCACAGATAATAGGAGAAAGAAAAAAGAGTGGTGGGACCCAACCCCTTTTTATGTGTAGAAAAATTATTTATCTCATGTAGAATGAGATAAACATAACCCTAAAAATAAAATAAAAATGCAGGTTTATATTAATTGAGTCAAATGAATTTAAGTCTTCTAGTTGTTTAATGGCCTATATGAAGTTGCAATTAACTTCCAAATTTTCTATTTAATTCTCTATCTACTATTTCCACTATATATGTTTGAAACTTCCAACAGCTCTATTTTTTATTTCTCTATTTAAATCCACATCTACCATTTCATCTATCCTAATTTCCTATATATAAAATGTGATATAAGAATTACGATAAATATTTTGCTTAAATCTTTAATGTATTTTTCATTTTAAATTTTTGATTTGTTGCTTACTTTGATGGAATTAAAATTTACGTCTGTTTAGCAAAAAAAAATTATGTCCAAATATTTATAGCTTATCCATTCTTATTAATTGAAAGTTCATATAATTAAGTTTAATTTGTTTTAAGTTTCATAATATCAAAATGTATGTATACTAAGATCTTTTATTTTAAAGCATAACAATAAATTAAACAATCAATATTGTAACTCATGTTCTATAATTAGATGCCTTTCTTGTTTACATTAGCCTGTGCCTTTTATTATTTACTATGTGTTAATTTTGCAGGCAAAGAATTTAAATATTACAAATTAAATAAGAAAATATTAAGAAAAAAAAACAATTTAGAATCTATTTACAAATATATAGTAAGGGTTTGATATTTGTCATCTTAAATGACATAAGTTATGTCGTTTTAGAATCTAGATAGACACAAGGAATAAAAATTATGGGAAAGGAAGTGAGTGGCTTTTTAATTTAAATTTTAAATAAAAAAATATTATCTTATCTCTATTTCTCTCTTAAAATACATAATTTTATGTTATTTAAAATAAAATAACTTTATATTGTTATAAAAAAAAAAAATTATATTATTTAAAATGACAAATAATTTTTTCTTATAATAATTAGTCGCGCAACTTACCTAATAATATGTATACGATGAATTGTTTAGTTGCACAACTTACCTAATAATAATACGTGACATAAAATTTTTAATAATTTTACATTAAAATTTTGCAATGACTGGTGGAATTAAGTAAGTTTTTTCTATCCACATACCTTTTTAAATTTGCGCATTGATAAATTCCCAAAGGTATTTGGTCAAAAGAAATTTTCGAAATATTATTTACCAACTTATTAATTCAATTGTACTTATGCATGGCTAATCGAATCTATTGAGACTTTCTATATAATATATTAAGGTTTTATTTGAGAATTTGGAGGAAAAGGGAAGAAAAAAAATTCAAGGAAAATGGAGGAGAGGAAAGAAAAATGAAATGTATTCTTTTCCCTTATTTGTAAATTAAAACTTTCCGAATTTAAGAAACTTTAATTTTAGAAATAATAAGAGTTTTGAATAATTTTATGAAAATTCCTAAATTATGGACACATCAATATTTGTATTTGTCTTTATAATATAACAATAGAATTTTTTTACGGATACATCAATATTTGTATTGTTTTTTCATTTTTTTTTAAAATTATGGACAACGTTAATTGTCTTTATAATATAACAAAAGAATTATTCTACATCATATACTTGTTTCCTGTTATAAATGAATTCGCTTTTTCTGCAGTAAATCTAATATGATATTATTTTGGGACAGAAATCATGATATTTTTGTAATTTTAATTTATTTCAGAATTATTATAGTCTTTATAATTATAATTTTTTAATTTTACAATCTTAAAATAACATCATTTTAAAAATAAATGCAAGTAACTTATATAAAATAACTGCAGAAATATTTTTTCTGTTATAAAATATGGGTAAAACACTTCTTCTTTGCAACCATATAGACTCACCAAAATCTATGACGTATTATATTTATTTATTTTTTCAAAAAATATGATGAGTCTCACACTTTTTCTCTTTGCTGATAAATCTGAACCTCTACAATAATAGCAGAGCTATAAAGCCCATAAAATATACTATAGTTTTGAAACCTTCCCCTCGACCCTCGTAGCCCTCGAGGCTCACGGGAAGTCATATAATTATTTTACAACTTCGTTTAAAAATATATATAATATTACGGTATGCGTTTTACTTCTGAAATTATAAAATAATTATAAATTTAATTAAAAAATTAGTGTTATAAAATTGAACCCGGTTAAATCGAGTCAACCCAAAATCTGATAAATCAGTCAATGGATCAATTCAAGCCAAGTATTGGATCTGTCATGCATCAAATTCGATCAAAATCAATGACCTAATCGAGTCATGCATTTTTAGGGTTACAAAATTGTTTCATTTTGTCAGAAAAAAATATATAACTCATTTTAAATTTTTTTATAATTTTATTTACTAGTAGTATACTCTTTTACAATGACCTCAAATCTCAACTTCCAATACTGAAACAATTTGTGGAATAATGAATTAAAAGAATGTAACATATTTCATTTTATTTTAATGTAGATGAATTGCAAAAATATGAATTCACAACATCTGATATTTTGAATGTCATTAAAAGAAATGTTTATAGAGATTTTGAATTGCAATTTAAATTGACATAATAATAACGTATATTTTTATTTATTTATGCTTCATGAACTTGTAAAAATATGATTGCTAATTTTTGAACTTATTTAATGAATTTTATTTAATGTATTTTAGATATGGATATTGGAATTAAATTTAGATATTTGTATTTATATATATTCAGATCAACCGATCCAACCAGTAATTTAATATTCTACTCGGATCAATATTCAGGTCGAGTTTAATAATATCGACAAAAACCACATATTGTGCAACATTATTACCTGACTAACTATTTAATTAGGAGACTTCCTACAACAAATGGCTTATACTCCAAGCTGAAGCTAATACATTTTTTACCCTTTATGTCCTATTTTTCATTTTTTTTCTCAAGCTTCTAGCCCCACAAACAAGGCATTCCATAGTACATGCTTGCATCCAATACAAGACAATCCACGTAACAGTGACGAAATTGCTGCTCTTCATTAAATTTGCAAAGGAAATTACAAGGGGAAACAGTGAAAACAATTGTTTTCACTTGTAAATTTTCGAAAATACGAAAAACTAATAAAAATAAGGTGATCTTTTTTGTATTTATACATAAAAATAACGGTTTTTTTATCCTTTTACTCTTTATTAATTAAATAATAATTATTTTGTCTTTCGTTCAAAATTATCTATCAATTTGAAGGAAATCTTAGATTTATGCGGAAGCGGTTTAGGACCTAGTACATTGGTATGCTTATCGAATCATCCTTGTTTCACAATTACCTCTCTGTGCGCAGGTCTCGTGTAGAATCTTCCCTTGTAGGATTCCTCTTCACGAACAGCTCACCTCAGCGCCGCAGCACGAACAACCTCCTTGAAGCTGGATTGTGATCTTCCAGACTATCTCTCGAGGAGGATGAGATGGTTGTGTGGGCAACCGTTCAGATGATGAACGTCTGCCTCTTGGGGTTTGTTTCTGATGATCTGTTCACCTTGGAGGCACAAGAGGAGAAAACTATGAATATATACGCTTAGGTCTTAGACATAACTCAACCCTAAGCCTCATGGGCTCAAGTGTCACTGAAGCCCAATAGGACTTTAGTGACCAAAAGAGAATATATCCAACAATCTCCCACTTGCTCTTTAAGATACAAACTTGAGTTCGTAAACCCAAGGCCATGTAGCCCATAAGCTATCATCATCTGATAATATACCCCATCCCTTGTCTCGAGCTAGCCTGGGGACCTACCATTTGTCATTGATCAAGGCTCCTGATAATCTTTGAAAGATTATCTAATTCGGCGCTACTCCACTAAAAGCCCGAACGTGAACTCCAAGATTAATGACCTTTATAACATGAATATGCATTGCCCCTTTGTAGAATGTCTATAATTGATTGACAAGTTTTCTGTAACTCAATCAATTATTTATTCCCTTGACTATGATAGTTTCTCTAATGGATTACATGCACTGGCCAGTGTCTTTAATATCCAAGTACCGAAACCTATCAAGGGGACATATCCTACAAATTCCATGTTGTTTATCTCATAAATACCGATAATCAAATAATCTCACTCCCAAAATACCGAGTTATTGGCCGTCAATAGATCGAACCTCACCCGTTGGTAAATCAAAGAATGAAAACTATTTGATTACCTATTTATAATAAACTCAGGATTAAGAGCAATCACATAACTAGTTAACTGGAGATTTGATACCTTATGACAGAAAAACAACCTTAATCAAATCTCTCATTGATCCTTTCAATGTGAATGTTAATTCACACCAATATTTTACAATGATTCGGACAAAATCATTTCATAAAATATTGCAGCCTGAATAAAGTGCCCAACTTTATTTAAC